TAATTCGTCGGCTCAGGGAGTGACTGAGCGTAAACAACTCCCCCTACACTGGCCTCGCGAAGTGAGTGGCCAGTCAGCCAGACAAAGAATGACCTTGAGAGGTTTGTCCCCGCAGCGTCCGAGGGAAGCATGGCTTAAAAATACAAGGTCGCTACAAACCGATAAACTTTCAGTGACGTGGGTGTGAATTTGATGGCACAGGGCTCTGTATGTCGACGCCAAACCGATACAACGATTGATTGAGTGGACCAGGCTTCAGTCGATTCTCGGCTTGTCTTGTTTCCGGTATGGGCGAATATTTCGAGGGCTGCGAATTTGAATTCATGGCCCGTTTTATAGGTGTAAGCAGCAACATGCGATTATTCGTCGCCCCGTTGTACAGCCAGCTTATGTTCATGTATGCACGATCCGAGCATGTATTCAGTTAGAACTATGTATTTACAACTTAGGCATAGGATGCAATACACTCGCCCAGATTGCTCTTTTGGATTAATTCGGTCATTGATTTTCATCACCCTGCTGCGTGTGGTAGCATTGGGTCAGTGTGTAGGTCAAAAACCTAGTCCTGCAGCGATGCGCTCGGCCACTTCTGAGGCATACATCCATAAATTTTTCGCCTGAGTGCACTGTCTTTGGGGACTCGGTACCTTCTAACGATGTGGGTTTTCCCCATGCAAATAAACATCCTGTGTCCAGTGGTCACATGAATATCCTAGATAAATGATATCGTCTCTTCACCGGCGGCTGGTGTTCGTGCATACGGGTGCTGATATATTTCTTAGCTTGAACACAATAGACCGCATCACAAGTGGCATCTGGCATTTTGTGATGAGTTCTTTCTACTGAACTAGTCAACCCTGTCCTTAGGATGTACAAGCTGAATACACAAAGTAGTTGTAAACTTATGCGCTATCTGTATTTCGTGCTCCTTAGATGTTTATCAACGACTTCACCTGTGCGTATGCGGTAGACGTGTATTGGCGTCGATTTCAACCAGACATGATTATTTTAAGTAGCGGAAAAAGTTCACTGTCCTTACCACATGCCCGAGGAAGAGCCGGGAAACCAGTCTCAAACGGTTAAATAGTAAACTTTGTTTCCTCCCTGAATAATATGGCCCTTTTCTAACATACGCAGTATACATGTTGATTGGCCAATATGGCAAAACGCCGAATCGGGTCTTTTGGCCTACCTGTAGAAGTTACAGCGACAATCGTCCAAAACTCCTAGCGTGGAGCTAACTAGTGCCTTATCGATTAATTCCTATAGCGCCCACCACCCCCAATGTGTCTCTTAACCTGCTGCCAAAAGGCTGTTTCTTCATCATGCCACGCCCATCCTCGAGGAGGACCGTATGATATGGTTTTTGTCTGCATTAAGGAAAACCTGCGACGTCTGGAGGAGCAGGCACGGCAGGCAGAAGTGCAGTTAACTACGCGGGAAGAGGAACTGGCCACATTGCAACTGCTGAAGAAGGAGCAACTGCGTGCAATTGAGGTGGCTCGCGGACAACTCCGTTCCCGTCGGGCGGTAGAGACAGAACTTGTGGACTTGCAGATTAAGGTGAGTCTCTGGGAAAATTTTGGTAGGGTTTCCAAGAAGGGTCTTT